AAGAGAGGACTCTTTGGAAAAGACCCTGATGCCAGGAAAGATGGAAGGGAAAAGGAGAAGGGGATGGCAGAGGATGAGAGGGCTAGATAGCATCACCGAAGCAATGAACATGAAATTGAGCAAATTCGGGAGGCAGTGAAGGACAGGAAGGCCTGGCGCGATATGGTTCATGGGGTCACAAAGAGTCGGACACAACTAAATGACTGAACAACAAAATTGTGGCAACGGGTGCATTCTCTATGGCCACCCTGCAAGCTTGCCGTAGCCAAGGCAAGCTTCGAGCTAGAAGTGCCTGGCTCTCCTCTCCCTTTTGGAGAGATGATTCAACCACAGAGGGAGACCGCTTGCAAAGTGTGTGTCGGCTTCCCCGGGCTAAAGCCGCTTGACTAAGGAAGCTCTTGTGGTGCGTGCGGCTGCAGGCTCCCCGGGGGCTGCATTAATAAGACACCCCAGGAGAGAGAGGGTTTGAGTGAGTGGATGTTCCTGCTTGGAGTGCCTGCTAAGTGGCTGCCTTGCAGAGCTACCGTTCGCTGGACAGCCGTGGCAGAGATAGGCAATTAACAGCTACAGGAGTGGTTGGCAGCCTCTGGGCTCCATCGGAGGAGTTCCCGGTCTAGTTAAAGCCTCAGGGAGCCTGCTCTCAGGCCCAGGGAAGGCAGTTATGGTTGCCCACGTGCTACCGTACCCCTGCAACGCTTCGTTTATGCCTCTGCACCAGGTGGCCAGTAAAGTCATCTCTGCGTTGACAAAGCTAAATTGCTCACCGGTGCCCTCCCTGTGCTGGGATGAAGGAAACCGCCCAGTCAAACAAAACCAGGGCTGATGGATGGAGTTCCCGGTGGGAGACGCTCTCGGGATGTCCACTTATGGGGACAAGGTGGGGAGAAAACAGAGGGGGTGTCAAAGGGGGAAGCCGGGCCAAGCTCTCCAAAATCTTGGGCAATTGTTATGGGTGGGGTTTGCTCTGTTTTCCTGTTCAGGAGAGAAAGACAAAACCAGCGATCTAGAAATAAGAGGTGGAGGAAAGCCAGCTGGGCCCTCCAGCCAACCAGAACATGGCTGCTGATTTTCCTTGTCAAATGGCAGAGAATGACTGCATCAAGATGGCCCTGCGGTAAGGTTAGGAGGCCGATCACCCACTTGGGAAGGATCTGCTTCCTGTTCCATGGAAGCCCTAATCTGGCACTGAAGGAGAGGGGGAAAGCCCCCCATGAAGACCCATTCCAAAAACAAGGTATGGTTTATCTTAAAACCTGGGGTTTTAAGTTGGGGGGGAAATTATGGGGTTTCTATGACAAAAGAGTTGCCGTGCCCGTGGAGGACATAGACAAGTGCGGAAAGCTGAGACTGTAAGTAGGAAGATGGAAGGGGAAGAGCAGCCCAGGTAATTAACAGCCATGCAAATTGCAGAAGCGGCAGTCCTTTTTACAGGCTGTGCTGTGCACATCTTTAAAATGCTATCTCCTCAAATACCGAGGTCTAGAAACCTGGCCTTTAAGAAACCCTGTCTCACATCACACCTGCATTTAAATTCTCCAGGAATAACTCTCTGGGAAGCATTTTCAGAGCTTTATGACTGGTTCTGACAAACCTGCTGTGGGGAACCCTAAACAGCAACTAAAATATACGTAAGGAGTGAACAGATCTGATCAGGGAGAAGCGTTGACTGGTAACAGTTTGGTCAGGCACTGTAGGAATCTGTTTTGGAAGCCAGGAATCGATTTCTTACATGGCACCAAGCCCTGAAGCCAGCAGTCAGCCTCTACACAAGCCTTGGTTTTGAGTTGGATCTGTCTGAACAGCAGAACTGGCTGAAAACCGGAGAATGTATCCCTTCTAAGCACAAACTGGGATTCCTCTAGGTCAGTGTTTCTCAACCTTAGCAACTTTAAGACATATGGACTTCAACTCCCAGAGTTTCTGAACTCTGGGAGTTGAAGTCCACACGTCTTAAAGTTACCAAGGTTGAGATACACTGCTCTAGGTGGTCAGCTCGCTAACAAACCCACTCCTTGAATCTGCTTTAAAATTTAAATTATTTTTTTTTCCAAATTAAACTTGGCCCCAAGTTCGCAAGACCTGCCAGTGCTGCCAGAAAAGGTTGCTGCCATCTTTGCAAGAATACATGTTACCTAGGCCTGCTTAAAAGTTTTCAGGATATTGCAATCAAGTCAAGGGTCCAGAACCCGGGAATTTACAGAGGTCAGCGGACTTGGCGCTAAGGAGGTCGGCTGATTCCTCCCTCCTTGGTGGGAAGAGAAGGCAGAGAGCATCTGAAATAAAGTCTGGGTGGGGTAGCTCAAAAAGAGAACTGAAAGTGAGGAAGAGAGCCAGGAATTGCAGACTCTTGGCACAATTTAAAAGAAAAGATTTGGCATTTTTGAAGGTTGGGGAGGGGATATTTCAGTGGGCCATAAAGGAAGTTTTTTGGGGGTGAATCTGGAGTCCCACACCTGGAGGGCTCCCAAGTTACTGCCAAAGAGTGCAGGCATATGTTTGGGCAAGGTGGCCTGCCACTGGGGACCAGCGTGGACATCCTGGAACTAAGATCTGTTGCAACAAATGATTTAGAAAACCATTTTTGCAGAGGTGCCCTAGGGGGCCAGACATGCTGCAAAAGATTCATTTCCTCCTTTACTTCTTGCGTGACTTACAGGCAAGAAGAGGAAGGGAGCAAACAGGGGAACCCCTTCACCTGCTAATGATGGTGCCCACAAAGATCACAGCCACAGAGGAACAGTGTCTTTCTTTACCCAGGGGCCCTTGGAAGTCAAGCCTACAAAAAATCACGTCTTTCATTTGTTACAGATTATTATTATTATTATTATTATTATTTGCTGTATTTAATCAAACTTATAGGATATCTTAATCACAGTCAGAACTCTAGGCAGCATAAAAAATGTGAGATTAAAATAATAACAACAGTAAATAATAATAAAGAACTACAGGTAGTCCTCAACTTATGACCATTCATTTAACAGCTGAAGTTATGATGGTGCTGAAAAAAGTAATTTATGACTGGCCCTTATGACTGTCGCAGCATCCCCGTGGTCATGTGATCAAAATTTGGGTGCTTGGCAACTGGCATGTATTTACAACAGTTGCAGCGCCCCGGGGTCACGTGATTGCCATTTGCGACCTTCCCAGAGGGCTTCTGAGAAGCAAAGTCAATGGGGGAAGCCAGATTTGCTTAATGGCCATGTGATTTGCTTAATGACCACAGCAAAAAAGTCGTAAAATCGGGTGCAACTCACTTAATGACCGCATCACTTAGCAATGGATGTTCTGGTCCCAATTGTGATCATAAATTGAGGACTACCTGTACCAACTCATATAACAAGGGTTGAGTTTGATTTTCACATTTTAGACTGCTAGCATTATCTATAAATCGAGAAAAAGACATCCACCTACACAAGGGTTCCAAAATCAAAGCAGAGGCCCTGCAAATCACTGCATTAAGTGCCACTGTAAGGGGTCAGCAAAGAGAGTGAGCCATTTCCTGTTTAAATTCACCAGGTGGCCTTGGGTAGTCATCCCTTTATAGCCTCATTGGCTCCCACTTCCCAGGCTGGAATACAGGAGTAATAACACTAAAACACATGGAATTAGAAAATCAGACGGGATCTTAGAGGCCATCAAGTCCAACCCTCTGCTCAGGGGCCATCCAGGCTCTGTTTGAAGACCTCTAGCAAAGCTGCCATTATAGTTTACTCTGTGAACTGAAGAAGTACAACTTTAGTTCTTTCAACCATCAAAAGAACCTACCCAAAAGTGCTAACCCCGATCCCTCCTGCAGTTTGGAATCCTAAAGCTTTTTCGTTTGGCGCTTATGGCGTTTTACAGAATGTGGCACAACTGTTTGCAAAGCCAAGTCACTAAAGCCTCGTGGCCATGGAAGTGCTCTGAGAACCACTTCTCTCTGCTTCCTCCAGGCATGCGCTGGCCTAACCCTTCTGCCTCTGCCATTTCTACAAAGTTGAAAGTCCCATGAGAAGTAAACCACCCAACCAGCAAAGGCTCACATACAAAAGTATGCTAGCATCTGCATGACACACAAAAGCAGATTCCCCTCGTCAGGTGAAATCATGCGGCCGTCTCATTGGTTAAAGCCTAAACGCACATGGATTAACTTGCACAGACTTCACACGCAAGTTCTCTCCGAAGTCTGTCGCTTCTCCGGTCTTCCGGGATACCCTCACCTCTTTCCCCGTCAGAACGTGCCGTGCCAACTTGACCTTGGCAAAATTGCCCTTGCCAATTGTCTTCAGCAGGCGATAGTTCCCAATATGGGGCTGCTCGTCAGCGGAGGTGGCAGGGATACGGCCTCGTAGCATGTTGGACTTTGTGCTGGGTTTGGAGTCTGGGTGTCCCAAGGCCGGCTGAAAAGGCAGAAGGGGGAAGGGGGGAGAGAAAGAAATGATATGAATTGGTTTCTATGAACGCCAATCTGTCTACATAACAGCTCCCTCCCTCCTTCCCTTCAGAGCAAGACAAGGTGATCTAATATCCAGGAACCAATGTTTAAATAGCCACTGTCCAATAGAGACATAGAAGTGACTACTCTAAAAGCCTATGCACATAAGAACGGACCCTGTCCGTACAGTGCATCTCCCCCATGGCAGTTCCTGTGACACTGACTTTGGATTTGCAAAGAGGCGTGCACCACCCTGCCTGCTGTTGCGCTGAAGAATCCCTCGCCTTGCCACAACCAACAAAGCCGTCTATGTGGTACCCCCCAACCTGGTGTCCTGCTGGACTACAGCCTCCAGCCAGACAGCTGAATCAGCGCCATCCACTGGGGACTTCCTGACTCTGAAATCCAGCCAAGGAACTGCCAGATTGCTCTGAGATCAATGAAAGGAGTAGAACTGCTGTATCTTCCTGGACCCAAACAAGCAGTACTCTGTGGATTTTAATTTTAATTTTGGAAGGCTCTCATCTGGCCCCACTCTCAGGCAAGATACAGGCTTCGAGGCTAAAGAAAGGAAGGAACCCCCAGGATAACTATATAAGGAATATATAAGGAACCCCCATTACTATATAATGGTTTAATGTAATGATTGTTTATATACTTATTGTTTTATTGGATTGTTGTACGCTGCCCAGAGTCATTTTTTGTGAGATGGGTGGCCATGTAAATTTAATAAATAAAATAAAAAATAAAATAAAATAAAATAAAATAATCCCTTATTTTTGGCATTCTGGAAAGCTTGGAAACTCTCCTGTTGAAGCGGGCATTTGAGTTGAGTGGACGGTGACTGGGTAAACATTTTTAGCTTCATTTTGCTGGTTTGAGGAGGTTTTCATTTATGGGCTATTTACATTATGGTGCTAACTACCCAAAGTTGATTGACTGGGGCAGTGTAAAATGTTGCCGATAAACAAACACACGGGAAAAATAGAAAGCCGAGCGGGTTAAGAATCCAAGGGCTGCTTCTTCACTTTGCAGTTATTTCAAACTGCAGGCAATGCCACATCCTGTATGGAAATGCCAGCTGGGCCTGCCTTATCCTGCTTACCATATCTCACCTACCATAACGTTGCCCATTTCATGCAGGGGGAAATTAAAGCTGAGAACATGGTGTGTGTCTCAGCACATTAAGACAGCACAGCTGAGACCTGGGAAGCTCTGAGCTTCCATTAAGACGGTGCTTTGCACAGTAACAACCCGCCCCCCCCAGAGGATGCTTACACTCAAAATAATCTTCCTTGCTGTCAACTTTTCTTTACAACTTATCCACCCCAAAGTCCATCTCTGGCTCTGGCGTTCTCCTTCGAACAACTGCTCAGATGTTCCCAAGCGATTCTTCGCGAGGCAATTAGTGGTGCCAGGCACCCCTTGGAAACGATTCAGAAGAAGCGCTTTGGACCCCCATGACCGCAGCGCAACACGGCCGTCCGCTGAAGGAGCCTAGCTTTTCTTGGGCTTAAGGAGCTGATTGATTAAAGTTAATGTGAATTGTATCTGAAGTGCGCGCAGCCCTGGTAATTAGAAGATGGGAATAAATAATATTTTATGACTTCGATCACACACTTTACCCTGGGTGAGAGTGTTGGTCTGCACTTTTCCAGAGGAGATAATGCTTGGTTAACACCCCACTGAGCAGGTCTAATGATGATGATTTGATGGGATGGGAGCGTATACCATATGCAACTGGTAAAGGGGAGGATAAAGACGCACAGCAGATTTGACAATATCTGAGGTGCACCTCCCTTTAAATGGATTTCAGGAGAGCAAGGCTTTTTTAAACAGCTATAGTTGCCTGACCTGTCCTGGCCATAACAGTGCCTGAGGACAAGCTGCACGTTGTGGACAGATTCTTCAACTCTTGTTAAACTAGGAACTGTTAGGGTATTTTTTGGAGCTTTGTGCAGGGATGAAGAATGCAGACAAGCTTGGGGCTAGGGGCCCAGGAGCAGAAAGCTTTCTGCTCTGTGTCTGAGCCCCATATTCCATTTGCTCTTGAAGGATACTGCAAGCTATGCGTCACCTGGACGAACCGCCACAGCCGAGCTACCGTTCTGAAAGGCCCACCACAGGAGCAAAATCAATTGCTCATTTATCACGTGTATCCAAACTGGGCATGGAAGGCAGAAAAGGAACACTATTCCCCCAGAGGAAGCCATTATTTGGACCGCAGCTGTAGATTTTCAGATGTGGCCTGTCACTACCTGAGAATAATCTGGTGGGGGATCCAGTGGGACCTCAAAGGAGGCTGATTTCCCTAACAGCCCCATAAGAGACTCCTGGAGGCCGAAAAACAATTGAGGCTGCTTCAACAAACATTTAAACATTTGCATCGCCTTGGCCCTTTGCAGCAGCCATTTTGCATCACAGAACCACACAGTTAGAAAAGATCTCAACAGACCTTTAGTCAACTTTTTGTCAATGGAGGAAATCCGTTCAATGTGCCATGGCCCCCAAGCTCTCTCGGAAAGCCTCTATTGAAAAACAGCTCACCACCTTCTTCGATAACCAGTTCCGTATCAGTTTATCCCACCATGAAGGATCCCCTTACCCCATGTTTAGTTGAAATCCCCTTTTTGCAATATGGAAACCATTTGTTCAGGTCTTACCATGGCAGCCCTTTAACCATCTGACAACAACCATTATAAAACTTCCTAACCAAGTCAAAGAGCCCATGGAATTCCTTTTTTTCCCAACATCCTGATATGTCTGGGTGGCCAGCAGGATAGCATGAGGGCAACAGCCTTCCTTTACCAACACCCTCCATCAATGGATGCCCACAGGTATTCTGTCTCTGAACATGGAGGTTCTCCTGGTCAAGAAGTAAGGCTTGGGCTGCTGCTCACCAACTTAAAAAAACCCCAGAGGCAGGGGCAGAGATATAACTGGGGTTCCTGTACTTAAAAAACACTTCCTGAATAACTACAAAAGCCTAGCACAAGCCTTGGTCCCAGACACAGCACTACCTTTCCCCTAAGAGCTACTTCTACCAAGATAATACATTAGAAAATGTTTCTGCCCCAATACAAATGCTTGATCGATGAATAAAACATGAAACCCATTATCTGTGGAAGCCTTTAGCCATCAAGAATGGGCTGCAAGGCGGGAGCAGAACTAGCTGCATCACTGCTTGTTTTCTCATGTTCGTGCAGCAGTTTTTCTTTCTCTCCTGCCTTTTCTGGAAACTCAGCTAGGGAAACAGAAGCCTTTGGAAGCCAACGCTGGATTGTCCACCCCCAACAGTGCCTTCTCTGTGGCCCTCTGGAACAGCATCTCCCCAGAGATCTGTAGGGCTCCCACCCTGATGGTGTCCCCAAAGGCTATTCTGCCCAGCCTTGCAGCAGGGTGGCAAGTGAGCCCTTATAAGGCCTTTTATGCTGTTTCATATGAACAACATTACAATACAAGCAATACAAATGTTTGCAAGAAAACAACCAAGCTCAGAGAACCCCAAGGACTCCACAATTCCACCTTGAGCTACAGATATATTATCTTCTGTTGTTTCATACAGCTTTTCCGGATGCGTATCATCATTTTCTCTTTCTTACTGTCCTGACTTTTTATGATTTTACGCTCTCAGAGTTGATTGGAGTCAGGTAATAAATAATAAGTTTATGTGATACGTAGCACGGGATCCATTCTTACTGCAGAGGCTGGTCAGCCCTCAACATTTTGTTAACATCTACTGTGCACATTATCCTAAAGCAAGCTCTCCAAGTGGTTTAGAAGTTTAAAGAAAAAAAAAGTTTAAAATAAGGAAAGAGAAGATAATCGCAAGGCAGCTAATGTACGAATATATGAAGAGCAATGGCCATATAAATAAAGAATAGAGTTAAAAGGCCATTTTAAAAATGCAGAGCAACATGTCTCTGAAACCTTAAGTAAGTTAAGTACATAAGAGTTGCATCTGCAGAAAATGTAAAGCCAAAATGGCTGGAAATGCAAGCTTTTTTATTGCAAAGCAAGTGGCTGGTACATGCTGTTCAGCTGGATGCAAAAGCACTGGCGGAAATTATGTTAGCGCATGGTGTGATTAGTGTTAATGCAATTGTTTCCAGTGGGCTTCTCCAGCAAATGGATATGGTTAAACTAAGAATGGAGGAGGACCTCTCAGGACAGCAGGTAAACCTGGACCACTGACTGATCTCTCTGGCCAGTATCTGAAGCATGTGTCTGGAAACTGGCTTATTAGAGGACTGAGATCAGCATGCTGATGATTACACTATAAATTCCCCTCTAATTTCATTTAGTGTTTCACACACTTTGGAAAAGGCTGGGATGCTGGGCATTGTATTTCAAGAACTCTGGAGGAGCCACAGCCTTTTGTGTGGACTTCAACTCCCAGAATTCCCCGGCCAGCATGGCTGGCCAAGGAATTCTGGGAATTGTAGTCCATACATCTTAAAAGTTGTCAAGATTGAGAAACCCTGCTATAGTGGATGGGGACTGCATCTTTGCTCTTCCCCATCTTTCAAAGCCATCCTGTTATTCCGTTGTGGCAAACACCCTGATGGGAGCAGAAGGGATTTAATTTGTACAAAAGTGTTTGGCTTCCAGGGCAGCCACTCCTCTGGATGATGTCAAAGGCTGCCCTTTCTAAGTTGATTCATATAAACTCAAAAAGCATTGCTGCTAAAGAATGGAATCTGGGCTCCATTGGTAAACGTTGGTGATCCCCCCCCCCCCCGCAACCTCCACCAAAGAAAACAAGCAAGGGCAAGGTTGGTCTTCAAGCAGGAAATGCATCCCACGAAGCCCACGGATCTTCTATTTCACGGCTTTGAAAGCTGTAAGCTCAACTTACACCTGCAAGAGCAGGGCGAGGCCGGCTTAGCCCTGACAAATGTTCCCAGGAGCCTCAACCTTTCTGACTGTTTTATTAGAGGCACTACACAACTCTACGGCCGAATC